CCTGCGGCTGTGCCAGGTGCATCGCCTAGAGCTGCTCCGGATTCCGGCTGGCGATCCGCCTCCGATCGGAACTTTCTATAGAATTCCGTCTGCTCACTCTCACTTTCACTGGGGCGGACAGTTTGTCAGTTTGTCAGAGTTTCTGTTGCGGTTGCTCGCTTTTCTTTACGGTTGCTTGAATTTTTTCTTTGTAAATTTGTTTCTTTAATTTGTTCTCTGCTTGTGGGCTGCTTTTTATCACTGGGTTTGTTTTGTGTTCCTAACTTCTTATCGGATAACTTTCACTTTGATTAGATACTAGATTCGATTTATTGCACAACTTGTCATCTCTCTGCGTTACACCAAAACAAAAATGAAAACAATCAACAATCGGGCGCGATGAAAACGTTGGAAATTCCGTAAAATTCCGGGATGCTGTCCTTTGCTCCGGTATTAACTATTAGCACTTGCAAAAAAAAACTAAACAAGGAAACAGGGCAAAACAATTCACGCAGTTCTTGTTAGAGCTTTGTATGTCTTGGTGGAGTTCTTATTGGATTTTGGTTTGTGGAGTTGAGTCTGGGACGTCTGATTGGGTTTTTTGAGTTTGAAGTTTCAAGTTGGAAGTTTGAGTTTCAGTTTCAATTTCCGTTTCCGTTGGTGGCTGATTTTGAGATTTTTTGGTTCGCGTCGCAGCACGCGCACGTAACGAGCAACAAACAGCAACTAACGTTATTTTTAAAAACCCAACTCGATTGAAGTCCAAGTCGCAATCGCAATGGCAGCGACGCTGGCTGCGGCAGCGGCAGAAGGACTGGCAGCGGCAGCGGCTGTGACTGTGACTGTGGCAGCGCTAGCAGGACCAAGAAGCAGCCGAAGCCAAAGCCGAAGGACTGCCGAAGAGTCGAAGGATGCGGCGGCAGCGAAGCCGACGGAACTTTGTTTTGGTGCCCAAGCTGATGGTGATGCTGTGCTGCTTATGGATGGTGCTGGTCCTGCTGCTGAATCTGAATGTGAATCTGGAGCTGCGCGACCGTGGAATAGAAAGTTTAGCACACAATTGAAGTCATTACAGAGCTTGTAATACAAACACAGACACAGACGCACACTCACACACACACACACACACGGACGCACTTTGGGATTAGCGTTTGGCAAGGCAAGGATACCAATTAGATGGCCCGGAATACTATGCTACGTTTCGCTGACCGCTGACCGTCCGCTGCCTGCACTCGCTCGCTCCTCGCTGCCAACTGGATGTTGCTGCACTAGACCATTGGACCACAGTCCACTGTCCACTGTCCATTGTCCGCTATAACCCCCTCACCCCGCCATAGGCCACCACACCTCACCATCCACCAAACTGTTCTGCTGCAGCGCTGCCATAAAAATCACCCGCCAAACAACGTACTAAACACTCATTACTCATTTCGCTGGCTTGCCATCATAGCCCACCGCCCCCCGCAACCATCCAGAAAGCGACCGCCCACCCGGGCAGCAACAACTATTCGCACACCGACACACACACACACACAAACACAGCCAGCGCGAGAGACACGCACACGGACAGGACGAAGTTTGCTCTTTTTTTCTGCGTGTGGCGTTAAAAAAAAGGATGCGACTGCTACGCTAGCCGTGGCAGAGGCTGCGGCAGCGACGCCAGGCAAAAAGGAAAATCAGAAACAAAACAAAAATGCGAAAAACGAACGAAAAATGCTAAAACCAAAAGCGGCAGCGCAGCAGAGCAGCTGAAACAAAAACTGAAAATGTAAAAAAAAAAGAAAAATGAAAACAGGCGAAAAAGGAAAACGGGAAGAGGAGGATAAGAGAAGAAGAAGAAAAAGAATCGGCGGCGGTGGCGGCAGCAGCAGCAGCAGCGGGAAAAAAGAGTCAGCGTGTGAGAGTGTGTGTGGCGGTGGAAAAAATTCATCCGCAACCAACCCCACTGCATGCTGCGACCACCCCGCCACCCCTCCCGCCCTTGCTTCGCACACACAAACACAACACAACAGCACACGGCACACAGCACACAGCACACACACAAACAACCCTTGTGCGATGCCGGCAGCAGTGGGAAATTTAAAAAACGCGTTTACACGACGACACGAGAGCGGAGCGCGCGCAAAAAAACGCAAACGAAACAGGACGAAGCGAAAAGCGAAAAATAAAAAATACAAAAATTTGTAAAGCACGAAAATAAAAAGGACTCTCATACACACACACACGTGCATAAAGGAGAACTACGAGCTACTACGCCCACCGCCCACCGCCGACGTCGAAAGGGGAAATCGACGCACAAAAATAACCAAGCGAATAAAAAAGGATGGCCTGCTGCGTATGTGTGTGTGTGTGTGTGTGTTAGCTGAAGAGCGTGATTGTGCGTGTGTGAGGAGAGCCGTTTTTTAAATTTTAATTTGTTGTCTTTTTACTCTGTTCCGCTCAGGCATTTGATGGCGCTTGCTATCTCGCTCGCTCTAGCCCCATTCTACTGCTACCCCGAAAAAGTATGCAACATTTTGGGCGAGATGGAAATGGATTGCGAGGGAAATGAAGACAGGGATATAGTGAGAGAACGAGAGAGTAAGATATATATCCCTTGGATGCTTTGGCCGATCTCGCAGATCCTTTATGTTACCTTGTTGCTATCCAAGCCGGCGGAATGTCGAGGCACAAACATAAATGGCTAAACTAAACTAAAGAAGCGGCGAGAACGAACGGCGAAGGACGAAGGACACGCGACTAGGCAGCCACGACGTCTTAACGGTTACTAACTGCCCAAGACGTTTGGCCATTTCGGCTGGAACCGAATGGCTGAAACCGAATGGCTGGCTGGCTACCCAGACGCCCAGACTCCCAGACTGCCAGCCAGGCTGACAGCCTCCCAGCCATCCGTGGGCAAAGGTTCATTCAGTCTGGGCATTTGGCGTGATTCGGAGAAAAGCAAAGTCAGCCGGAGATGGGAGACGGTGCCGGTAAAAGTCGCAGCGTCGCAACGGCGACGCCAGCGTCGCCAGTACATCGCTGCCTCAGGAGGAGGTCAAAGTTGAGCGGGAGCACTTGAAGACTTGGCCATCCTGTTGCTCGAAATGACCGCCCAGCCACTCAAGCAAGAACAACAACAACAACAACAAGAGAAGAAAGCCACCCAACGACCAACCGACCTACCGACCATCAAAAGTAAGCACTGCGAACTACGCACATACAAATGAGCGTAATAAAATCAAATGCTGATAGTGTGTAGTTGGACGCATTACCCGAAATCCGCCCCTCTATACTACTACTACTACTACTACTGCTATACTGTAACACCCACACATAAACATGGGCGCACACAAATACACAAACAGCAGCAGTAGCAGCAGCAGGAGTAGCAGCAGAGCAAATCTACTACACGCAATCTTCATTTTCAACGCCATCAAAGCCATTCCAATCATCATTATCGTCGCCATAATCATCAAGTAAAGTACCCACCAGTAGCGCCTCGACGCAGGACACCCTCTTCCTTTGCCCTCGGAGCTCCCCAAGAAGTATGCTATGCTACACGCTGGACGAGATTCTCTTTTTCGTCAGCGCTCTTAGACGAAAAGCAACGACGATGACGATGGCAATGGGATGCCAACAAGTGCGCCCGAAGTATTATTTTTTTTTTTCCTTCTTCTTTTTATTCCTTGCTCTCCATCTTTTGGCTCCTTTTTCGGCTAAAGAGAGAACTGTATGCTAGTCTGTGTGCGTGCCTGTGCGTGTGTGTGTGTGTGTGTGTGTCTGTGAGTAGTGGAAAGAGGGAGCGAGGGAAGCTGGATAAGGATGTGAATGTTGACGTCTTCGTTGTAGTTTCGCGTAGTTCCTTCTCAATGGGAATGGTGGGTGGTGGCTGGGTGATTTCGGGTTAGAAAAAGAAAGGAAAGGAAGAGGAAAGGAAGGACGAAGGAGAAGGTGAGGCAGCTAGGCAGCTAGGCAGCCGGCAAATGCGACAAATTATTTAAGCTGCATGTGGCGCGAGCGAAGCTTTGCTTGTGCACTTAAAACAAAGGTCGTCTGGTATAATCTTATCATAAAAGTTGTAAGAATTAACAAAATGAATTATAAATAATCTAGATTAATAATCTAGTAAGTTAGTTTAGGGTTTTAGATTGAGTTTAAGTAACAGTAACTATGGGAAAATTCTTTACTTATTAACTTCTACTATTTCCAGAGATTTCCAGAGTAATACAAACCTCTTTCTTTCACTTTCTCTAAAGTGTAAGGATAATTGCTTGGGACACCAAAACTAACAACGATTTGTGTCTGTGTGTGTGTGTGTATTTGTTGCTTTGTGTGTGTGTGTGCGTTGCAGTTGCATTAAAATCTTAGAAGACGGATTTCTTGTTCATCGGCATGCAGCCACACGGAGAGGGATAGACTTACGGCTGGCTGAAGCTGCTGGCGGTTGTCGTTCTTCGGTGCATATAATTTAGATTTTCGCGTTCAACACACACACACACACATTAACAGACACCAACACACACTTTAGCACACACACACACACACGTAACCAATGGTGAATGGTTGTGGGTGGCGTGTGGTAGGTGCTTCGTTTTTGGGCTCGTCTTCGTATTTTGGCCCAAAGTTTCAGCATATTTTGCTAGACTTGCTTTAAATAACGAACACACACACACACACACGCACACATATGCAGATTATTTTTGAGTGGTACAGCAGTGAAAGGGGGAGGGGGAGGAAGAGTGAGTGTTCGGTTCGCAGTAATTAGCCAATAGGAATAGCTGGAGCTTGTTGTTTGCGCTGGTATGAGTGTCCCGGCAGGGGTGCGTGTGTGTGTGTCTGTGTGTGTGCATGTGTGTATGTGAGTCATCCCTCACATGCACGTTTGTCATTTGGGCTTTGCCTATCGCATTCGAGCTTCCAGCAAGACAATCGCATGTTTGCCCACCCGTTTTTGGCCATAATGGGTTATGGGGTTTGATCCCTTTGACCCTTTTCCCCCCGTTTGAAACTGCTTATAGAATATTATTTAGTACACTCACCTGCGATCAGAATCGTTTATATATATATATATCTCTTGATATATGCTGAAAGAAAGGAGAAAGGAAATCGGTTAATGGGTTGCCTTCGACAAGGTCAAGAGAATATTATTTAAGTTTGCTTTTCTTTTTCTTATTTCAGGAGATCAATAAGGATTTGGCTGGCTTCTATGGCATCTAGGTGAGTTGCAAGCAATCTAATAATTATGTGCCACATGCCACATATCTATGTATGTGCCGCTTGCTTATGTATAATTGTCAAAGAGCCAAAGAGTAAGCTTCAAGTGTCAGAAGCGAGCTAAAAATTTGTTGCTCCACCTACTTCGGCTGTGCTCTGCTTTCTTTCTTTTTGTTTTTTGGTTAATATATTACGCATATGCGGTGGGGGGCATGGGTGTGGAGGGGGGGTGGTAATGGCAAACACTAGACACCCCCAACATACACACACACACACGCTGGCAAGAAAAATATTAACCAAACAGAGCGAGTGGAGCGCAGCAGTTAAAAATATTTAAAAATTTTCAAGTGGGTGATAGAGGAGTGCCGGATGTTGGCAGAAGGGGTGGGGGTGGGGGGACTGCCGGAAGAGGGTTTCCAAAAAGCATGCGTGTGGCAGGATTGTGGGGAGGGGGTGGGGGGTTGGAGTTCTGGTACCACCACTTTTGGTTAATTGCCAAAAACAACTACAAAAAGACAACGGCAAAAGAGCGAATGAGAAGGAGGGAAATGGAGGCGTTAGTGGAAAACCGAATGGGAAATACCCTCGAAGGGATCGGATCGTATCGGGGGGGGGGGTGCACTCATACACTTGCACACCCACACACCCACACAGATGACAGGAAGAGTATGCAAAGAAAGTTGAGCTAACCCCACCAACCTCTACGCCCGCTTTGGAAAAAAAAAGCTGGAAAAAGTTGCGTTCGCTTTTGGTGGGGCTTATGTAAACTCTCCTTTTCTCGCTCGCACGCGTTGTTGTATGCCGCTCACATATGAATATGTAACCATATAGAACATTTTCCAACTGCCTACGCGCTTATCAGAGTGTGTATGTGTGTGCGTGTGTGTGTGTGAGTTGGGTTTTTGTGTGTGCGGTGTGCTCCCTTTTTATTATTTCGCGCGTCGCAGCCAGAAAAAGGTACATAAATTGCAAATGTATTTGTGGAAAAGTGCGTTGTGGTGCGTGCAGATGAAGAGTACCCATCTACCCATCTACCCAACTCCCCCTACCTCCATCTCTACCCCTAGGACCACCACCCAACGCCCAACGCTCACTTTTAGCGGCGACGCTGCGAAGCTTATTTTTTAATTTGTGCGTTTCCCCTCGACTCACCGTTACGTCCCCTGCCTCTCTTTGGGCTTCATCATTTGTTGCCAAATAATTTCACATTTCGAGGGCATCCTTTAGGAGGAGGAATCCTTGGAAGGGTAGATGCTTCTTCATATCAGGGGAAAATCTTAGTTTTCCACTAAGTTTAAGTTTATTTTTTAAGATTTTTCCTTTTCTTCTTTCATTTTGTTTCCCTAAAACGTGAAAAGTGCATTGGAAATTCGACTTGTTGGCTTATTATCTTGACTTCTTCGACTGCTTCTACTTGGTTTTCTATGGCCGTGCTTGCTTTGACTCGGCTGTTTGTTTTAACTTGTGCCGCACTCCTTCCCCGCCCCAAGTCCTGCCCCAACCCCTCTGCTTCTCTCCTCTTCCCCCCAAACTACATACCCTTCGAGCACTTTCTTTTTCGGCGAAACTTTTTTGCTTTCCATGCTGGCATGTGCGTGCCCCTTTCCACTGACGTCCCTGTCCCCTTGCTAACCAGCTTGGCTCTTTAGCATTCGCGCTAGTCTTCTGTTAGTGACAGTCGACGGTCGGCAGTCGCTGCATTTCTGAGCAGCGACGACAACGACGACGTCGAAGCCGGCAGCAGCCAATTTAATTTTTCATATGTACACAAAGCAGGCCAAAAACAAAAACCAAAAAACGCCAAAAACAAAAAAAAAAGAGGAAAACGGGGAAAAAGTTTTTCTAATTCGCATTTGTATTTAATTTGATGGAGCTCTCTGTCTTACGCCCTGGCTTGCTTGCCAGCCCAACCACCTTGCCTCAGCCCAACACCATCTCCTCTTCTTTCCTGTCCCCAGCCCCCTTCCATTAGGTTCGCTGTTCGCCCTTTTTTTAATGGGGTGCTTTATGACAAACTTTAAGCGCGCGCGACTCTAAACATTAAAATTGTACATGGGCCATGTGTGTGTGTGGGGGTGAGTGTGTGTGTGTGTGGTTGGGGGTGTAGGTGAGTGTGCGTGTGTGTTATGAAGGAGCATAGATGAGGTAAAGGCTGGGGGGGGGTGGTGGTGGTGGCGGTAATGGGGGTGCGCGCACTTCTAACACCGCCCACTAATGCCAACTGTGCCTAACTGGTGGAGCGACTTGCTCTCTCCGTCTTTGCCAGTATGTGTGTCTGTGTGTGTGTGTGTGTGTGTGCGCATATGTAAAGTAACCACCTCCCCCACACCCACTCACCGCTTTCCATGCGTGCGCGTGTCTGCGGAGTAATTTTTTAACTAATTTTCTATACAAATTTTTAGCATGTCGTTCGGGGCCCGCGCACACTTTTTACATTCTTTTTGCATACATGAATATGTATATGCTCTGCAGTGTGTGTGTGTGTGTGTGTTAGAGTGTGTGTTTTGTACGTACTTCTAGGCGGGCGAATGTGTGTGTGTGTGTTGCCAGCTCATTCGTTCCTTCGAGCTGTGCGCAGTTTTTAGTATTCTCAGCAAGCCCCAAGAAGGGGAAATGTCTGATGTTCTGATATTCTAATACTTCCCAAGCCCATTAGAAAAGTCCCTAAGATTTGATAGACTAGACTCTACTAGACATTCCGCAGATCCGATCTTGTGGTGTAGTGGAAGTTATTCTGAGTTTTGACTGAAAATTCAAATATTTTTTATGGGGATTATACCTATAACTCAGTCAAAGCAAGGCTCAGAGATAAAATAAAGACAGTTTTGAGGAGCTGAAAAGTCAGGAACCAACATTATTTTCGGCTTTTTAGCTCTAGCTCGGCCAAAACAAGACGCACAGCCAAAATAATGACTGTTTTGTGCTGCTAACGACCAACACTAACCACCCCTATCACTCGTTTTTCGATTTTGGAAAATCAATTTTGGCCCAAATTTCGGATTTTTGATAAGGGGTACCATCATCAAAATTTTCAAAAAATGGCCAAAAATTAAGTTTCCCAGATTTGAATGCAAACCAATTGGGAATCATGGCAATCAAGTTACGAGCCCAACGAGGTATTACATTTCGCATTTGGACCATTTTTGGCTGTGCTATTCCAAAAAAACTGATTTTTTGGTGCTCAAAATCACGAAAAGGTCTTTTGGCAGCAAAGATTCCGGTTTCCTTGCCGTTTCTTAGCTCTAACTTTTTCACCGCATGTCTTAACCAATGACTGTTGTATGCAGCTAAGAACCGAAACTTTAAACCTGTGTACTTACTTTTATCTTTATTTATCTGATTCTCTTGAAGTGAGCTGTGATTTAACGGCTAAAAAATTGAAAAACCCATTTCTACAGAAATTTGCGATATTATTTCCGGCTTCTTAGCTCTAACTCGGCCAAAACAAGCCGCACAGCCAAAAGAATGACTGTTTTGTGCTGCTAACGACCAATACTAAGTACCCCTATCACTCGATTTTCGATTTTGGGAAAGTCAATTTTGGCCCAAATTTCGCATTTTTGATAATCATCAAAATTTTCAAAAAATTAATAAAATTTTACGTTTCAAGGTGGGTAAGCAGTTTTATTGGAAATTAAATTACGAATTCAACGAGGTATTACATTCCACATTCCGACCATTATTGGCTGAGTTATGGGAAGAATACTATCACTGTTAGGTGAAAATCGGGAAGAACCAAATTTCGCATTTTCGATAAGGGGTAATATCATGATTTTTCCGAAAAATTCTCAAAATTTGACATTTTAAAGTGTGAATGCAGTTCGAATGGAATTTCAATTACGATTCCAATGATATATGACATTCCATGTTGCGACTTTGTTTGACTTTGCTGTGAAATTAAATCTGAGACAAAATAATCTGATTTTGAGGGAAGAATCAGGACTATGACTTTTAAGAGAAAATGACAATATTTTGTATCGGGATTATACCTTTAACTCAGTCTAAACAAGGCTTAGAGCTAAGATAAAGACAGTTTTGAGCAGCTAACGACCGACACAAACTTTCCTCATCATTCGTTTGATGATTTTGGCAACTTTAATTTTTTACAATTTTTTCAATTTTCTGTAAGGGGTAACATCATCAAAATTTCCGAAAAATGGGCACATTTTTGCGTTTTAAGGTGGGTAAGCAGTTTTGTTGCAAATCAAATTACGAACTCAACGAGGTATGACATTCTATGTTCCGACCACTATTGGCTTAGTTATGGGCAAACAAAAACTGTTTTTTGGGGAAAGATTTAGAAACTAGTAAATTTTGTATCTTTGGCCCATCAAGACAGCTCTCCTTAGTGTTGCTTACAAACACAGATCTTAAATAAAGTCAAGGTCGTCGTAAGAAACGATCACAGTGGCGTAGGTTGAGATAGAATACTTCCCACCACAGCGATCTGGCATGAGAATGATTGGCTTTGGGAGGAAAGTGTGGCCGTGGGGCAAGTCATGCTCTTTCTATTCTCTCCACCGTACAACGCTTTTTTGAGCTCCTGCTGCTACTGTTGTTATGATGATTTGACAGGATGGCATTCATCCTGACGCACGGACACAGCAGGATGGCTGGTGGTGGGTGGACAAGGAACAGGGGAACGGGGAAGTCATGGGGCACTGGCAGTGATTTGCATTGTTTGTTAGCAATGTCAGCTGCCAGTAGATAGACCCGCCATATGTGGCTGTGGTAGTGGAGGTGTACTTTTGGCAGAGACTAAAGGGCGGTAGGCGGTAGGCGGTAGGCGGCGGTAGGCTGGCGACGCGTCGCTGTTAAATATTACATCAAAATAAAATTAACATTTCATTTGGCTGACTTTTTTTCGAAAGCTTCATCGATAAATTTCGCCAAGTTAGGGAGCGGAGGCTGCTGCGATTTTCGCCATTCATATTTCTTTTTTTTTTGTGTGTGTGTTTTTTTTTTATCAGCTCTCGATTCTCTTCTATTTTTAATAAAAAATC